GTACATCTTTTGTGTCTGTAATGTAAAGTTATTTCACCTTTCAGAATCACATTGTTAATTGTTCTGGAATTGTTCTGCTTAATTTCTAAATAAAAAGCTTGTGGAGTTGCAGAAATGTGAAGAGAGATACATAGCTGAATACATAAGATAGACTACTAGAGTTTCACCCACTCAAGCCATGATCACATAGTCTTCTTGATAAGAATGCACCAGTATTTTATAGAGTACTCACTTGTATTAAGAAGTAGCATGCTATGAGAGTCAAGAGTGTTATTTTTTTCAGCTTTGCATTAACCTGGAAGGAAGTTTTCCTCTGTGTCTTGACTGTTTGAGAGGTTTAGAATGGGTTTGGTTATTTCAACCAAATCTGGTTTGTGAAACCGAAATAGATCCTTAACTCATTTTTTGACAAAAATAAAAGGCTGAGGCCAAAGGGTAAAGGACAATATTATTTAGATTTCAAATGGAATGAGAACAGACAAAGGGAAAACGAGATCTGGCATTATATGCTCACATCAATGGCAGTAATTAAGCTTTGCAGTGTCATTAGACATGATAACAATAATTTGTGGCCTTTCATGGTGCTTTACATGCTAAGCATGCAGAACCACATGATGTCAAGACCCTCAGTATTTCTCATTGTTTTATTTTTCTGCTAAGGAAATAATGGCTTTCAATGACATGGGGAGATGCACAACACAAATTTGGATTCTCAACTGCAAAGAAGAATAGAGGAGTGCTTCATGATTTTTAACCGTCTGTAAAATGTATGGCAGCAATAAAATGCTAACAAGACTTCCAAGAGTACAGTATTTAAATTTATAAAAGTTAATTTGGCATTATATTAAATGAGAAGTTAATGTTCCTACAAGCCAAGTAACTGAACTATGACATATTATACCACAGTGTTGAGTTGAACCAAGAATATTCAAATTTTTTATTGTGGGAAATCTGTCATTAATCAGTTCAAATTTCCTACTACTGTGATTAGTGTAGAGGAAAACCCCTGGATGGGGACTTTGGAACTTCAGAACCCACAGTAAGAAACTAGAAAGTCTTAAATATCTAAGTATTACATTTCAATCAATCTAGTGGGCAGTGTTTAGTCATGGTTAGTTTTTTTTTGACCATTCAATTAAAATGAGTATCTATTTTGTCTAGTTTTCAAGGCTCTTTTACAGGGTAATTACAATTTCTCTGAATTTCAGCTCTGAGTTTTTAAGTGCCCAAGTTGATAACAGTGAATAAGCAATCTCTGCTTCAAATTTAATTTCCAACCTCAAATGTCAGTGTGGTGACAGTCTTTAGCCTAATGCTGAGATCTTTCAATCATACCAGATATTAGTGTTTGAGAAGCTGCTTTAAGACAGCTGAATTAGTAAGCTCAATGTGTAGGAAATGGGTGCAAATTCTCTATTTCTCAGGATTTCAATGTGTTTTGAACATTAGGAAAGGAGAAGCAGCTCATCTTTTTTTCTCCATTGGGAGTTAACTTGCAGCTTATCTTGGGTTGGAATCTAGTGAAAGTTCTGCTCATCCATATAAAGATTTTTCCTTTGTTTTTATTAGTTCCTTGAGAGTGTCATACAAAATAGTTTCATCATATTTACCCTCCTCCCTCAACTCTTCCAGTTCACCTGTGTGTGTGTGTGTGTGTGTTCTCTTAGGCTGAGAATTCTGCAGTATCTTATTATCATTACCTGGATAGTTGTGGGTCACTGTTCTAACCATAGTCTACTGCAAATAGAAGCTTCTCAGATGAGGGATGAAAGATACATTGATCTATGGGCATAGCAGTAAGTTATACTATGTCTCTTTAGCAGCATAATAGTCATAGGTTCTCCCCTGGAGAATACTTTTATTGTCTAATTCAGAAATTCTCTCCTCTCTTGATGTTTAAGCTATTATGCTAGTGTGGCACAGTACTGCTTATATAAGGCTATACAGTAATACCAAAATGTAATAATGATAATAATAATAATGATTAATAATCTGTCAATTTCAAGATTCCTCCATAGTTATATTGCTAACCCCTCTGAAAACTTAGCTTTCAGTGCTATCAACTATTTTCCCAGTGGGTAACTGGAAGAAAAATTATGTTCTTTCAGAATAAATCTTGGCTTCATAGTGGTCAGTCTTAAACATATCTAAAAAGTATATTAAGGTCCCTTTGTAACTTTTTCTGTTTGAGACTATAATTATGATATTTTCCCTTTCCCTTTACTCCCTCCAAACCTTCCCATATAGCTCTTCTTATCCCTCAAATTTATGGCCTCCTTTTCATTGTTACTGAATATGTATATATATATATATATGCATATATATAACAAATTTAACCTGCTCAGTCTGTATAATTCTGCTCTTATGCATGCTTTCAGTGCTGACTATTTGATATGGGATAAATAATTGGAGTGTTCTTCCCTAGGAACAACTATTTCTCCCGCCCACAACTCAATTAAGAGGGTTCGATTTTGACCAGCATGTGTCTCAGAACAGCACATACTTAATCAGAGGACAGACTGAAGATGGAAGACATGACCCAGACAAACAGTCCTTGTATCTGTCTGTGACTTCAGAAAGGAAAACTCTTAATTCTCAAACATCTTTTACTTTGCTCAACAGTGGCAGTCAATATCCATTTCTGATTCATTTCAGCTAATTCTTACAAATTTGGGCGTCAATATCTATGCATTCACCAGTCTTGCTCCCACTTAAGCATTATTAGTGTGTGGCTATTCATCTGTAATAATTTGCATATAACTAATGTATTACTGGAAATGTTGCAATTAAATAGAATTCACATCCAACAATGTGAATTGAACTCTTACCCTGAACTCCTGGGGGGAGGGTCTAGGCCCTGCCCTGGATGAAATGACAGACTATGGACACCCCCATGGGGGGGCCTCACCCTCCCTGGGGAAATGAGGGGATAATGGGGGAGCTTGGGGGAGGGCATGGGAGGAGGGAAGGGAAAGGGAGAGGGACCTGGAACTGACTTGTGAACCAACCAAATTTCTAATCTAAATTTAAACTTAACAAAATTTAATAAAAAAAAGAATTCATGGGGATGGTAGACGACAGTCTGGATGGTTGGGTCACTGGTTGGATGTGAAAGTGAATGTACAGTACCATTAAGTGAGATGGAAGACACACAAGGAGACAGGAAAAGAGACAAAACATTAATTGAGGACAGATTATTGAATTTGAGGAGATTCTACTGCATTCGACATGCAGATTTTATGTATCTATAATACATACATGGGATTTAGGAAAAATAATTTTGAGTTAGGGTACAAACTTGTGTTTCACCAGTGTATCAAGGAGCTGAAGTCCTAACATATTGGATAATTTGACCAGTTACAATGTTTCATCCATGAGAAACAAGTCCCAAAGAACACCTTTGTTAAAAGGATGGGTGACGAACTCTTGGGGAAGGGTCTAGGCCCTGCCCTATATGAAATGACAGACTATGCACACCCCCATGGAGGGCCTCACCCTCCCTGGCGAAATGAGGGGATAACGGGGGGGGGGGGAGGGCTCGGGAGGAAGGGAGGGAATGGGAGAGGGACCTGGAACTGACTTGTGAAGCAACCTTGTTTCTTATCCAAATTTAAACTGGAAAATAAAATAAAAAAAAAAAGCATTCCAAAATTCTGAATTTTTGGAGAACCAGCAGGTGTACCCGGTCATTAACACACAAAGCAGCAGCCTCTGGTAAAATTTCTTTTTTTTTTTTGTTTTGTTGTTGTTGTGTAGTCAGGACCAGAGAATGAAGAGGGAAAAGAGGGGACAAAGCTCCCTGGGGTGGACCACAAAAAAAAAAAAAAAGGATGGGTGAAGGTAGAGGGGTATGTGGAGGAAAGAGAGGTCCCAGATGAACTTGAACATCATACTTCTTCCTTTCTTTGCTTAAAGTGCAGTCATAAGACATTATAAAAAGTGGAAGATCCAAGGCAATCCACATCCCCTTTTCTACCTGAAGAAGGTGTGCTGCAACATTTTATTTCAGCACATCCAGGGTCGCTTGGTGCTGTCAGGGAGCTTCAACTGTGCTAAAGCAGGACACACAGACCTGAGCCCACCTGCCCTCTCTAGCTTTCCTAAGCTTGACACACAAACCATCCACAGATTCCTAGATTTTGTTCATTCTCGTTGCTTATCTGTAGATAAAAAATTAATTTTCCCTAAGTGTACAAGTATTTGGTAGAAATTCTGCAGAAAATATGAGAAATGTCCCAAGATAGAGGACACACACTCATCACAGAAGCATATAATTCACACTCAAAACTCTGGTCTGCTTCACCCTAACTTCAAGGTGTATATTTGGAAAATGTTGGCCACCCACTCCTCTCTTCAGTGGAATCCAGTGTTTTTCCTTCATATGCAATCACTTTCATTTTTATACAAGGTTTTTCTTCCCTACCCTACTAGCAAAATCAAACTAATTATTATATTTCTTTTATGGGAAGTTCATTTTTCATTTCAGCATGCTGAACATTACATTGTAAACATTCCAAAGCCTTGCCGCCCCAGAATATCAGAAAAAAGCATCCTGTAAAACCCTTTCCACTGTCCTTGATAGTCTAGCAAATCTCTGAGAGCAGAGAGAGAGAAAGAGAGAGAGAGGATGAGAGTAAGACAAGAGTAAAAGTGAGTGTAAGCAGGCAGGGGTCAATGCATTTGCCAGAGCAGGCCAATGTAATGCCTGAACCTTTCGTGCATTAATTTGTTTTCTAGTGCCAAATGATCATCCTGGAATACACATATACAAATAACACTACATTTACTGAACAGGTAATATTTTGGAGTGTTGTGTGTGTGTGTGTGTGTATGTGTGTGTGTACACATATGCATGCAATAACAATCAGTGAATAAGGAGGCCATAAATTTGATGGATGTGAGGAGAGTTATATGGGAGGGTTTAGTGGGAGCAAAGGGATAAATCATAGTAATAATAATAATAATAATAATAATTATAATAAAAATTATTAAGGACTTACCAGTCTGGCTCTATAACCTGATGTCATGAATGAAATGCTAGAGAATTGTTTTTCTTATTACCTCTTCTTTGCTAGCTCATGACCTCAGTGGTTCTCGATATAGTCATGTATTCCTGCAGAGGAAATTGCCAATATAACTGATATCTGTGGACAGTTAGATTGACTTATTCACTATCAGAAATACATGGAGCCTCAATAGAATGTGAACGCTTAGAGAATCGATAATTCTTTAAGACTTTGATTATCCTGCAAAAGATCTATAACTATTTTCTCCATTGATTTTCTCATGTTGGTGAAGGGTTTCACTTTTCAGGTAATTCTTTCTTCAATCAACCATACACACAGGATAAAAATGAGTGATAGTGAAAAAGCATGAAAAGAAGACACAGTACAACATTGAGAAAGCCACTGTTTCTATCTGACGTTGTCTTTTTGAGGACATGGAAACGAGACTGCTTATATATTTCCACATATTCTATTTCCTTTTCCACTAAGCAGCATATATTATTTTTAGAATTTCTCACATAATGATAAATTCAATTTTGAAAACAGTGAAAAATGTTGCGGAAAGAGAGAACAGTTTGGGGAGTTACAAAGTATGTTGGTGTGTTTTGCTATAATTCTCTATAATCTAGAGTGACTTTGTGTAATGTATTTTAGTTTATATGTATATATACAATATATACATATAATTTTCATGTTCTGATTTGAAGTGATTTATTGTGCATAAAATTTTAACCTCCTTAATCGCAAAATATTAGTTTAATCATGGGAAGTGCAGACACTCCCTGGTTTCCTAATATCATTACTCAGCATGCAAGTATCATGTTATAGATATTTTGTAGATGGAGTTTTCTCTCCTGCCCACCAGTTCCCAAATAACCAAAGCAGATTCTCAGTCCTGCTTATTCATCTTGCTTCTCTCTGTCTCTGCCCTTCTTCCCAGCATTTTCAGTTTGGCTCTCCCCTTAACCTTATCCATCCAGCTATTGGCCTGTCAACTTCTTTCTTAAACCAATCACATCAACATATAGTCACACAGTGTAAAAGAATGTTCTCCTATTTTTGTCTAATTTAAAAGGAAGGCTTTAACTTTAGCATAGTAAAATTATATACAACAACACAGTTATTAAGTAAGAACTGCAGTTACAATATTCAGTCCATTTGTATTTGGCAAACTTAGAGAAAATAATCTTATTGTTTACCTTATTTTGGTGAGTCCACAGTTTCATACCTAATTTACCTTTGTCGTAACTAAGAAAAACTTTGGCTATGACTGTCTAACCTTCAACTCTATCAAAGACCCCAGAAAGGTGAAATGTTACCTAAGGACAGGGACATCTGGATGCCTGGAGAGTCACTCTAGGTTCTTCTGTAACATTGGGACATCCAACTTTGGCCTACAAGCCTAGTATATCTGATAAAATTTCTGAGAAGCAGAGAATTCTAAAGGACTCTAAAAGGACTCTCCTACTTTTGTGCATCCTGCTGGTCCAGTTTAGACAGTATACTGTCAGCAATTGAGGTAAGGATAGTTTCTTTGCCCAAATTGCTAACTTTTGCCATAAAGAAACCAAACTCCGTACTGAGGTTCTTTGATGCCCATCGTCTTCTTTGAATATATTGGTGCTGTCAGTAGCAGGCATGTCTCACTGTCATATGGTTTTCTAGATTTACTTCTTTATGTTTGTGATCAGGATTTTCAGGCCATCTTCCTTGATCAAATCTGATCATCTTTAACCTTGACCAAATCCTTTAACCTTGAACAATTACTGTAGAAATAAAAGCATATCCTTTTCCCTAAAGTAACATATCTTTTGACATCCATTTTGAAATCAAGAAATTTTTAAAATATATAGGTTGGTTTAATCCAGCAGTTTTCATAATCCATTGTGTCTTAGCAGCTGTTCTTCTTTCATTCACAATCAGAAAAATCTAAAGACAACACAATAAACTACAGAATTCAGACTCCCTGTGTTTTTTCCATCTTTATATGACTTATTATATAATTTTAACTCTGTTCCTTTTTAAAGAACCTTATTATTTTTAAACTATTTTTAAATCTATGACTGTCTCTATCTTTTCTCTCCCAAGCACATGTGGATTATTAAATACACTGTAATTCTGATAGTGGGTATTTTCATCTGATCTGTCTTTACTACTTATCTGAAACCTTTTCTGTCTGCAGGAACAAAACCCCAAACCCTCCATGCAGTGTGTTGTCAGAGCTAGCACTGGCAGCTCAAGTCCTTAGGCAGCAGCTGGGAAATGCCTGTCTGTACTGTGGCAGATGTGAGAGACTGTAGGAGCCTGCAATGTAGCTTAGGGCGTGGCACACTTGGAGCTGACAGAAGATGCATCTCTGTCCTGTGGCTTGTATGAGAGACATGAGACTAGGAAGCTGCACAAGTCTCCATTTTTTTGTATGTCAGAAACCTTTTTAAAGCTTTCCTGGGTCTTATTTGGTTGCAGATGCTGGATGTTTGGTTGCCATTTGAAGGTAGACTTTTCTTTCTGGCCTGCCAGTTCCCAAATAACCAACATAGAAACTTAATATCAATTATAAATGTTGTGTCAATAGCTCAGATGGCTTGGTAACTTTTCTCAGTATAGCATGTCCATCTTGCTTCCCTTTGCTACTGCTTGCTACTCCTCTGACTCTGTCTTTCTTCCTAGAATTCTCTGTTTGATTCTCCCCCTAGCCTTATTCTGTGCAGCTATTCGCCAGTCAGCTTCTTTATTAAAAGAATCACAACAACATATATTCACACAGTGTAAAGGAATATTCCATGCTTTTTCCAGTGAGTTATTTATGCATGTATTCATCCATTCTTTTATAATTTCTCCCCCTTGATAAAGTGCTACAATTATACAATTTTTTCAAATGTTCACAAACCTAAAGATTACATATTTCTTATTCATATATTTTTCTCCATTGCTGTTACTGTAATTTCTCAGCATTACTCAGAGTAAAGGAAGTGGGGTGCACAGTCAATGAAGGTTACTTATTGGAAGACAGCACATGTGTAATACTGATCATAAAATAGAAAAACAATTCACTTATTTCCATAGCATGCAAAACCATTTGGCCCTCAAAATATATAAAAATATCAACAATATAAATTCAACTATGACTTTAAAATGTCTGTAAGAGCACATTTTTTTACAGAGATGTGTAGAGTGCAGCCTTCCCACCAGCCTGGGTTCCAGAGCTGCATCAGTCCCAAATGAACATACAGGATGCTATATTAATTAGGAAGCTGTTGGCCATTTGCTTGTTTCTTATTGGCTAGCTCTGACTTAAGTATTTGCCCCATAATTGTTAATCTAAGTATTTCTCTTTCCAGAAAAAGGGTCCGGACCTCTTATTCCTATGGCTGCTACAACATGACTGACTGTGTCTCTCTTTCCCAGAAATCCTCCTCAACTCCTAGTCCCACATATCTTGCTTCCCTATTAGCCAACAGTGCTTTATTGACATATACACAGGACTTCCCCATCAGAGATGATTTGTTTTGATACTTCTGAACTTATAAATCTGATAAAATTCTTTCAGCAAGGACTGATATTTGATTAAAAACATGTTGCTAGCACCGTTAAACAGCTGCTAGTGAAGATTTTGATGAAAGGGAGAGCATACTGCTCAGTGTGAGCTGTGCCTGCTGAGGAAGGATGAGGAGGAGAGGGGAGATGAGGAGAAGGAGGAATCAGAACCAGCAGCAGCAACAGCAGCAGCAGCTATGTAACAAAACTTTCCTTTGCCATGGCAAGTCTGTGTTATGTTGTAGGGCCTGAACACCAGCCTCAAGTCCTCTATTGCTAACTTAACTGAAAATGCCACTGTGGTTTCAGCAGTTGGCCATCTGTCTGTGCAACACAGTTTACTACTGACTCAGATGGAAGAAGACAGAGAGGTGATACAAACATGACTGGGGAGTGGATGGCATTTTGTACCCTGTATTTGTACTTACAGTATGGTGGATAGATATATCTTTACTTTATGAAGTATTCTACCACACAATTTCTAAGACCAGAGAGTATTCTATTATTGGATTCTTTTTCTGAAAGGAATCAACTTAATGATTTAGAATGTCTTAATACTATTCACTTTTGTGTTTACTATTCATGGTCAACAACCCAGAATACTTTGACTCATGTTTCATGGGGAAAAAGAAAAGGGACAAGAGATGATGTGATTACAAATAGAGATTGGAATTATTGTTTGGGGAATGCTATTTTCAGGTTTTGATTATAGTCTCTCATCTGGGGAAGTATAAGAAAAAATTAGAAAATAAAAGACAAATTTGACACGTTAGCCATAAGCTTTTGCATTAAAATAAGAAGAAAATAATGTCCATATATCAAGAGAATTAGGTTACAAGCCAGAGCTTGCAAACCTCTTCACACAATCAAATGTACTTCCCAAAAGGAATTAATGGTATTCTACTTATTTTCATTGAAATAAGGTTAGAGACTCCAGCTCTGGTAAAAATTTAGCAACTGAATGCCCAATTGAATTAATTGAACTTTCCTGGGAAGAAGAATTCTAGTTATTGCTTTTCTATTTTTCTGAATTTGTTGCTATTAAATTACAATAGGCACTTAAAACAGACTGGAGCATTGGCAGTGGCACAAGAGTGCCAGGCCACTCTGTTCCTGGTGAACCACTGAGGATACAGTCTCTGACTTAGGTGACTATAAAAACTAAAACTTTAGAAAAGAATGAAAATGAAAACAACAACCACCAAGCAAAAAGAGAAGAGCCACTGTGGAAAATATGAGGGCTTTTTTGTTGTTGTTGTTTCTGGGAATATTTTTCTTTTTCCGTAGGATTCTTGTAAGAACTGGGTACTGTTGAGCTTGTCTGAGGCACAAATATAATTGCTAGCCTTGAAGACTCAGGAAAATAAGAGGGATGGGAGTCATTGGGCATCAGAAAACCACAGGAAGGGAGATGCTACTTATCTCTTCCTGCTGAGAATGAGTGTGATGTAAATGAAGGAACCTAAGGAGGCCCCTTTCCACACTTTCTGATGAGATGTCATTCGGACAAGCTCTTCCCATCAGATAAGAATATGGTGAAATGAAGATTTTCTCACTTGTTGTCATCAAC